AAAACCACTTTCCTTTACTGCACATTGTTCAACTTCAGTTCCTGTGCCATCAAAATGGCTGTGCACAGAATGCCCATGACCAGATATGCTGGGAAACTCTTGTTTTCCTGCCCATCCTATGACACCTCATGGCCCTTTGATGGGTAAAAACCTGCACATACCCTGCAGAAGCCTCCACTCAGTTTGTACCCGAACCCTGCCTGGAGAACATCGCCACATGCAGCCTTATTGGTCATGTACTCCCCAAAAACTGAGCTGAGCAGGTGTGACAGGGAAACATGACTTACTAGGCACACGGTTGATAGCTTTCAGGGGTCTCAGGACACGGACAGTACGGATTGCAGACAAATTAATGTTTTGGAGATCCAGGGAGTACTCCACCATCCTGCAGAAGGGGAGAGAGAGAGAAAGAGAGAGAGAGAAAGAGAGAAAAAGAAAGTTTAAAAGAATCCAGAATTTTGGCTTGAGCCACAGATTTATCATTTCTTCATTGAAGAGTTTCTGGAAGCCATGGGGATGAAGTCTGAGTTTTTGGAAGCAAAATTGGAGTCTCCATTAGCTCTCCGGGAACAAGACCAGAGCCCACAGCTCCTCTGGCAGAAAACACAGTGAGCAGTGAGAGCACACATGATGCAGGCTGGGAGATGTGATAACACGTACCTGCTGTGACCATCAGGAGGGGAAGGAGCTGCATGAAGATGCACTGACAAGAAGCATGTGCTGCTGGTGAGGGCACACACATGGAGTGGCCATTTCACACAAGGCCAGGAAAAGAGGGCTGTGTAGCCAGTTTTGTTGAGTGTTACCTGCAGCACAGTGCGGTGCTCCCTGTGTTCTCCTCATCTCACACTGCAGGATACAGTCCCTGGAGGCAGCTTCAGCTAACCTGTTTTATCTGGCCTAGAAAATAACTCTCTTACTTAAAATGGTAACTGCTTTGAATAGGTGGAGAGGCTTCCCCCATACCTGTGAATCACTCCTTTCTGACACCAAAAGAGGAAAAGCCTAATTTTAGGGCATATGATAGACTTTAGCTTCCCTAACACAACAACCTGCTATCTAAATAACCTCAAAGTGCAAATAGGTGTGACTAATGCATTGGCTTTGCTGTGGAAGCTGCAGGTGCAGGTGACAAAAAGTGACCTGGCTCAGCATCCCTTAGCCCAGCGCTTCCCTCCTTGCCAGTATGGCAAATGTCCTGCCTCTTTGAAAGCATGGTGAGAAACCATTACACTAACCATTTACCCTGGCCAGCAGTTTCTACTTGAGGATCTCAAAACATTTTACATATTTTTGTGAACATAGGTGCATGAGGCCTCCAGGTGGACATGGGCTGTTGTCACCAGCTTCCCCTGATGTGCAGATGGGATCAAGGGGTTAACAGAGTTGGTGGGTGAAATAGCAGCAGAGTCAGGACAAGGACTGCTTCTACTGAATCTCTTCTCAGACATGAATAATGAAGCTACAAAACCTCCCATTTCCTTGGCCTTTTGATAAAACTCAAGAGATAGAGAGGGACTGGGGACAGAGCCTTTTGTTACTGCACCCCTTCTCAGAACAAATACATTATAATTTATACAGAAAGACCCACAAGTCAACCTAACATTGACTCAGATCCGTCTGCCGAGGAACCACTGAAAAGTGAATGAGAGAGCCAAAGTGAGACATCAAGAGGGAAATGGGGTACATCTAGTTTGTAAAAAATATCAGGGAGAGGCATTTAGTGAAATGGACCAGTGCACTGGTCATTCTATTGATTACCCTCCACTGAAGAGGACCTCAAAGAGCTAATGCCTGGTTATCTGTCTACACCTTTCACAAAGGGGACTTGTCAGAGTGAAAGATTTTCAAACATGATGGGGTAAACCTGTCGAAGTGTTGTGATTATTCTCTCTCATGCTCTCTCTCTTTCTCTCCCTCATTCCTTTCACTCTGTTCTCTCATGCACTTTTAGGGTAATTGCATGCAATAATTTTTCCTCTGAAACACAGTGGCATTCATTTACCTCCCTGGAGCTGTCAGTTCCACATATGCCAAATGCAGAAGGAGAGACAAGGGATTTCATGCAGATAATCAAAATATTCACACCCCAAAAAAATGTAACCCAAAAAAACCCCACCTCAAATCAAGCAGCAATATTCAACTAGCCTACAGAAAGCATTAGTGATAGACAGAGGCTTAGGATCTATCCAGTCAGATCAAAGTGGGAAGTGGGTATAAAGGAGGAATGCACACAAATATAAATGCATAGACATGACTACAGAACATCATACAAAGGACATACCTGTGTGGTTCAAAGAACCAAGGGCTTTTTGTAAGCACTGACCAACCTTGCTCCAAAAGCATAAAGCAAGATTGCCTCATCAGCATGTTGTTACTCCTTAATTAGACAGACCTGCTGAAACTTTAGAACTACAGTTATGGACAAAACACCCTATAGACATAGGTGTATTGCTCCTAGGACATGAGCTAACAGCTTTTCACAGCACAGACTTGATATGAAGAGGTAGCTTCATGGCTGAAGGAGTCCCTACACTGCAGTCTGTTACAGGGGGTAGGTATATGCACAGAAACATAAAGGTGTCCAAGCTTGGTGAAGTCCCACAGAACTTTCCTCTCCTAAAAAAATGCATCCACTAGAGCACTGGGTTGAGATCCAATCTCTGAAGGCAAAAAAAATTCTTTTGAGGCAACAGCAGAACAACCTGAAACAGAGTCAAATGCCAAGTAAGCAAATAGTTCAAAATACATTTAATTTCAAAAAGTGGTCTTTTCTGAACTGCAAGAAACCAAATGAGAAGTCCTGAAGAACATGGTGACCCTCACAGAAACTGAACGCAGGGGAAAAGCAACAGGCTGACAAGAAATCAGTGGACAGAGGTGACATCTCTTCTTAGCCTTAACCATGCAAAATTATTTTTAATATAGAACCGCTGTTTACAAACCATTTAAGTTTTGTCCTCTTGTGGCTACAGCATTACCATGGGAGTAACCTTAACCAGGTGCACATCATTGCCCTCTCCTAGCTGGAATGAGTTTGCCACCTATGTAGTACAGTCCATGTGTCACTAGAAAATTATTAATCATCAGAGTAGTGACTGTGGGTCCTTTCAGGGCAAGACAAATGCTGTCTTAGCTGCAACTGTGCGGTTCAGACAGCAGCAAGCCAACCTCCTGCAGCCCTCAGTGACTGCAGATTTGCTATGATTACATTCCAGTATAGCCAGACAAAAAAAGCCGAACAGACAATCACACTGCCAGTGAAAACACCAGGCTGTTCTCAAGGATGGGTTAGAAAAGGGCAACTGCTAAATTTTTCAGAGATCATCTACTAACAAAAATGAACTCAGCCCTAGGAGGCCCCAGGGCTTCAGCTCGATGAACAGACCCCTTCTGCCTACAGTTCTTCCTGAGACCTCCTGATCTTGGCTGTAATAACAGAGAACATCCAGGATGCTTGAATCCCCATGGATGAGTTATGTCTGTTGTAGTCACGCAAATTGTAACCAAAACAACTCCAATGCAATTCCAGTGTATTTTGTATTAGAGCCTCTTGTTCTTGCATTTTCATTCTTAGTGATGGCTTTAGTATCAGCTACCTTCACACTCCTCTTTGTGCAAGGCTGGCAGATGACCAAGGTGAAATGAAACTCCATTGATTAAGAAAAAAAACAAAACATCTTCTGTATTAGTAAAACTGATAAATTCAAATGTTGCCTCCTTCCTCTAATGAAATGGGATCTCTAAGTGACTCTGCTGGAGTCTACAGGCATCTGCAGCATTTCAGGGATTGTTAGCCCAGCTCTTTTTGTTACTATCGTTCTCCAGCCAGCCCTGCTCCCCACTGCCTGGACACCCTAGACACATAACCCCCTCTAGGTCTGGGCTGCACCCGATCTCCTACTGCCATATATGGAGGTGGCGTTGGGTTGACAGAGAGTCAAAAGGGATTATCACAAAAAGTGATCAGTCAGCAACTGGCAGCACATTTATGCCAGGAAGTTCACGTTTGGTGTGTCTGTGTCTAAAGATCTTGCAATGGTGAATCAGGTGTACTGTGCTTATTTGGACTCTCAGGCAGGCACTCAACCCTCAGTGCTTGGATCCTTATCACGCCAGCAATCTGCAGAACCCCATGTTTGCTCAGTGTTTGTAAACCAAGAGCAAGGAGCATTACAGCTAGTACAAAATGGTTGCCTCCTTATTGAACTCCAGGAGATTTCCAGGCTCCTTGTTCTTGCTTTGTAGCAGCTCAGTGCCACGGGCAAGGGTAATCCCCACGTCCTGACTACCCTTCATCTAGTTCTCCCACCTTTATTGGCTGCTTAAAGCACATCTTGTTTGTAAACACCTTAGCTTCTTTAACATCCAGGGGCAGTCAGGCAGTCAGGATGCAGGAGAAATTAAAAAAAAAAAAGCCCATGCTGGTTGTGAGTCCTTTCCCTTTATCATGAGGGGGCAGAGTGGAATGCATCTCTTCTGAGGGAAACAACACCTCATTTCTGGCACCACTTAAGTATTCTGTGGCCTCTGGTGTGGGTGGACGAGTGGAGGGACAGGTTCAGAAGCTTAAACTATACTAAATCAGAAGAAACTCCTGATCTGTGATGGAATTTGAGTGCTGAGCTGTCAAGATAATTGAATGTATACAATAATTTACTTCTTCCCTTTACTTCTTCTTTGAAACTTTCTATATGAAACTCTTCTACAAGGAGAGGGGATTGACACGTGCACTGTCCCGACATCACACAGCTCAAGACTGATGCACGTTGGGAATGCTGTCAGAATAGGAAATGGGATAGGGACACCAGCTGCATGTATGGGGTTCATCCTGCAGAAGCCAGGAGATGCCTGGCAGGGAACACCTTTCCACTCGAGCTCTGCCTCCCTCCCTACTCTCAAGGTATCCCACCTGTTTCCTATCCTCTCTCTCTCTCTCTCTCTACATCACTCTGATTCATGCCTGCCTGCGACATTTCCACTTCGCAATTTAATCTTTCATCTTAATTTACAGTTTTGCCACTTGTCCCTTGACTTTCCTTCAGATTTTTCCACTTTTCCTCATATCCTTCAATTCCCTTCCCAATCCATTATTTTCTTTTCCATCTTCATCTTTATTCTTTTTGTCCCTTTCCATACTGATCATCTTTCTGCTTTGTCCTCCAACTTACTCTCTGCCTTGTTGATAAACATTAGCCTACGTCCAGGTACGTCTGCTCAGCTGAGCACACAATAGACCTCAGATTAAAGAGAGATGAGACCAAGTTAGCGCAGGGAGCAAGTGAGCAATTTGTTAGCACATTGACCCTGTCCAGAAAGTATCTGGTCTCCTGTAGCTCTACCCCATGCCAAGCCACTTGAGCAGACAGCAAATACACAGGGATG